TCTTTTCCCTTATTTATTTATTTAGGGGATGTATTCTATTGTGACTTTTTAAGGATTTTTATAGACTTTTTAAAGTGGACGATGTTTGTGGACTTTTAAGTGATTTCTATGAATTTAATAAGAATTAGTAGAAGTTTTTTTATGGATTTCTGTAAATTTTCACTAGAGACTTTTATTTATTATTTATTTTTTTTGTAAAAAATACTAAACATATATAATGTAATATTTTAAACAACTTCTTATATATGCAAATCATCAACGGCTCATCTATAATATATTAAAATATCACATCAAGGGAGAATCATATTTAGACGATTTTAACTCTTCTACAATTCAATTATTTCAATAATACCCTACTTTTATTTTTCTATGTGTAATAAATACTACATAATTATTGTCATTTATGAAATTTGTATTATTAGTTCTCAATTAATTGCATTCATATTCACTTAGATTCAATGAATTTTCACTTAATGAATCTTGAATTACATGAATCTAGAGTTATTATAAATAAGTTTATTCATATTCAGGAATCTAAAAATTTTATTTGGCATTTAAATTTATGTATTAACAATTAATTTATATGTATCAAATATAATATAAAAAGATTGTTCATTTATAGTATTTCATCATTACAAAAAATTTGAATCATAAAAATTGATTTCCTTCTCTTAAATTTCTATGTTAAATTTTGTTTACTTTAATTTGATTGAGATTCATCAAATCTGCTAATACATTGGTACCAAATATTACTTTTATATAACGTGCAATGCATGTTTAACTTTGTCTAGTATAATTAAAAATGCAAAGTAATAAATCATATTTTTAATGTCAATTTTTTTTATAAAAAAAATTCAAGTTACGTCAAGTAAATTAACAAAAATCAAAATACAAAAAAAATTAATATTATTTTAGTAATGATCAACAAAAAAAATAAAAAAAAATCAAACATTCCCAACATCATTCCACATATCACCTGCTATAGAAGCTCTCCACACATCAACATTCTCTCTTTCTTGTTCTTGACTTTAAAAAAATGGTCCAAAGTCTTCCCCCTTATTAATCGAAGAAGATGAAGAATCTTCATTATTAGGTTCAACTGGAAATTCATCAAAACGACACTCTTTACGAAGAAAATTCTGTAATCTTACACAAGTCAATACGAGCTCCGCTTCTGTATGATATGGAAATGGATGAGCCGTTTTGAAAACTGTGAATCTTGATTTAAATATACCAAATATCCTCTCAATTTCGTTCTTCAAGGAAGCATGACGAAGATTAAATAACCCTTTTGTATTTTTAGGGTTACAATCTTGACCAACAAAATCTTGAAAATGATAATTGGTACCTTGAAAATGAGTTAAGAATTGACGTTGATTTGGATTTGAAATCCATAGTCTTCCAAAAAATATTTATATGAACATAAAATACTTGTAAAATTAACAAGTAACTTATAACATGTATAATTATAATATAATAAGATAAAAAAATGAAATAATAAAGTCATACCTTGTGGCACTTTAAGTTAATTTCTCCTTGTTAACGCATAATTCAACACCTTAGAATCATGTATTGATCCCTCCCAACCACTAAGCACATATATAAATACCAAATCAAAGTTACAAGCGACCAAAACATTATGAGAAATTGTTTCATGACGATTTCTATAACTGCTTGTATCACGTCTAGTTACCATTGCTGGAATATTGGTACTATCAATAGCTCCAATACAATCATAAAATAAGAAAACCCTACAAAAAAATCCTGAGAACGCTAACGCTAACATAAAACAAAATTATAATAAATATTATTTCACAACTTACTTTAGAATAAGGGTAAAATCTTGCACTTTTCCTTATTTTTTCTGGCACAATGAATCTCGATTGTCTATAATATTTGATTGAGTACTTTTAGGATCAAACGAACTAGATTTTGCTTCAAATTCTATTCTACTTCATTTTCGAATTGATGAGGAAACCTCTCAATTTGTAGGATCTTGTTTATTGGTTACTATAAATGCTTCAATATCAGGATCATACATGAAGTCGTTTATTAAACCATCACTAACTCTTCTTTGTTCTGTATAAAATGTTCTTGCATCTACATCATCCCCTAATGCAATTGAGTATGTCCCAACAGTTGTCCCACTTCCAATTACAATTCTCAAATCTTCATAGTCTGCAAAAGTGTCTGTGCTATAACTTTTATCTTTGGGATGAGACTATTAATGAAAAAATAATTATAAGTGCTAATGTATAAAACATTCACATCACTAACCAATAGCTCAAATTTTATATTTTTCTAAATCAAGTAATAAGAGATGTTCACCATAAAGGAACCGTCCCACACTTCATCACTAACAGTGAATTTCTTTGTTACATTATCCCATCCAAAGCCAAAGTTATGACACATAAGCTTACTTTTTAAAATCATTTCATACGACTTTTATTTTGGGTTATTTCCTATTATGTGGAGGAATGCCCATGTTTGAGATCTTATATTATAGTCTAAAGCCGATTAGGGTTTTAACCCTAATGATGAATATAAATACAAAAAAATGGGGAAAAAAGGGGTCAAATCCGTTTTTGAAAAGAGAGCAAAAAATAGTTTTTTCTCTGTGTCTAGATTTCATCAAAGCCTTGACCTGAGTGGTCCGTGCTATGACCGAGCTGAAATTTGGAGGAGAGGTTCACAAGAGACATAGAACTACAATCTGAACAGTGAAGATCGAATTTTGTGTTCGGGAACATTGATTAATGTGCATGAAAAGTAACCATATTTTTAGGGTGTATTTTTCCTATTTTCATATTAATTTGCCGAGATTGTTGTTATCTTGAAGAAATATACCTTGTAACATTTAGTTGTGACAAGAGAAGACTTTGTGTACCCATTATTTGTTTGATAGTAGAGGTTTTGACTAGACTAAGTCACGTGGTTTTTATTTAACATAATTGCTTCCGTTCTAGTGGTTTGGTGTGATTGATTTTTTTTTATTTTTTTTTTAACATTTTCAATATATACAGTTGTCAAAAATTGCGTTTTAATTATTTGCTCTTGGGAGAATAATTATTCTGCTGTTTATCTATTTGTTTGCATCTCTCCCGATAAATGGTATCAGAAGGCCCAAAATTAACCACCATTTTATATTGGGCATAAGTCTTTTCAACCCCAAACTTTTGGTTAAGATGAGGGAGTATACATATTTCTATAGTTATCTTGCTCAACACATCATTACCATCACGCCAATCACAAGTGACAACATCAACCGTGAGTTTTAGCAACTCATTGCTTTCTTCCCACATCCATTTTTCATATTTTTCGGTACCTCCTCCCCGAACCTTGTCATTTCCTTATGTTGAATCTTCCATTAATACTATTGTCATATAATTACAGAACAAATAATTAGACAAATACAAAATGATACACAAATCATTTATAGAAAATAATTAGGCCTTTTGATATTTGTACCATTTATTAGTCAAGCGCTCACATCTTAACATTTAGATTATACAAGTTATACTCTAATCGAGACCAATATCGTCTAGCATTTAATTGTTTCCTACCTTGCAATATTGATGCAAATGATCACTACTGAATATCAATTTAGCTTCATTTTAAGCGTTTATTCTGTTGGATCAATTTAGCTTCAGCTTAAGTTTTGTAACTTGTTAACTTGTATGTTGATGTGGTTCTTGGAATTTTAACTGTTAATATAAACTTTCCAATTATAAAGCTACTTATTTTCCAATTCAAGCGTTCAGATGATCTTTCTAATTTTTGTTTAGCTATGTGCTCTCTGTCTTCTGTCGAGTAATTCCTGGGCATCCAGCCCGGATTCAATTCCACCACACCTTCCTATGATGAAAATTACCTCATCCATGAACTTCAGCATTTTTTAATTACCTTGTGCCATGCCATTCTAAATTCAAAAATAACTGTGAAATCTTATGCAGAATAGTTTTGATTTAGAAGTTGGGGACAAAGTCAATTTGCTTGAAAGATATCCAAATTTGTTAAAGACATCAAAGAAAGCCAAATCTCTCTCTGCAAATCCTTGTACCTGACAACTACTACCTACTTGTAATGTAACATACATCATGATTTTATAACCACAACATCATGGAACCAATCTCTTACAAATCCCCAACAAGACTATAAACAAAAAAAGTATGTCAAACTTTAAAAATGCATTTATCAAATGGGCCCTTGCAATTTTACCCCAATTCCAAATATTCAACTTTCAACAATCCCCATTGTAGCAACCCCAATGGTTTCTAAAAATTCAATTCTTTACATATGAATGATGAAATCAAGAAATATTCATCTTTATCCATAAGTCAAACAGAAAATTCATGGAGAGGAAATAGAGATGTACGTTGCTAATAAAGAAAAACTCATAACAAAGATTCAAAGCAAATTTTACTCGAATGAAAGAAATGGAGAAAACCCTAGAGTAAAAAAGAAGATGCCAGCTAGTTTGCGAAATCTCTCCAGAGATTTTTTATGAGATTTCCTATTTATATCTTCTACCAAAACGTCTCTAGAAGTTTAGCAAATTATAAATTTTCAAAAAGTCATTCTCAATTAAATATCCCGTAACTTGTAAAGACTTTTAAAAAGTTTTAATTGAGTATCTTGTTACTTTTTGAAAATTTATAAAAGTCTCTATTGAATATACCTAAACTTTTGAAGAGTCTTTAAAAATCTTAATTGAATATGTCTAAACTTTTTAAATATCCAAAAGTCTTTAAAAGCCTCAATGGAATACACCTCTTTAAAGTGGCAGACAAATTTATAATTTTTGCGATCTTAACAATCAAATTGAACAAAAACAGTGTGGAGGTACAAACCTTGCTAAGTAATTTGGAGGGTGGTTGATGAATGGTGTCACTTGAATTGGTTTGGGGTCATGTCTGCCATTTTTGAAAACTGAGGACGACATACGCAATTTTCCCCTAAAAATTATTAGCACAAGTTGACCAAAAAATTGAGGTAGTCGCCAAAGTACGCGGGAGTCCGCGGGTACTTGCGTCCCCAAGCCAAGGATCCAAGTATCCGACCCGAAATTCCAATTTCCCTTTTTACAATTTTACCCTTTACTTCTCAACTGGGTACCCTTCTTCCCCTACACCGCCCCTTCTCCGCGTGGACTTCCATACATATATACATTCACACTGAGGGCTAAACACCTCGGCCATTAAAAACCCAGCTAAATTTCTCGAACGCACTGTAGATCAATCACTTATCTTTCGTCAATTTATTTGTTTATATCGTATACAGTTTTAATCAGAATAATAATTAAATGGGTGATCGATTTTGTAAGGATTTGGAAACTGCGCTGTCTTTGTATTCCAAACAAAATATTGGTCAGTGTATCCACTTGCATGGATACAGATTTTAGTATATAGTTTTCGATTTTTCATTTTTTTTCCTTGGGTGCTGATTATTTAATTAATTTTCTATTTTGTATAGATATTTTCTATGACGATGAAGAGACGGAAGAAGATTACGAAGATGATGACGTGAACGATGACGTCAGCGATGATAGGGCGGACGAATTGGCGTGCCCATTTTGCTTCGAAGATTTTGATGTTCTTGGATTGTGCTGCCACATTGATTCCGAACATCGGATGGATGTTAAGCATGGGGTAATTTTTACTGTTTTTATTTTGGGTCAAGATGATAATGTTTTACCGAATTGTGTAATTCAATTACTTGGACGAACTAGCAAATGAAATTATAACTAAAAGTTTGTGACTTGTAAACCGAGAGTTTCATTGTATCAACCCGAATTTAGCCTCTTGTGTTATAATGGTTATTGCTAGTGCTATTGCAAAGACTTTACAAGGGTTTAAAGTTGGGAACTTGGTTCCATTTTATAGTAATTGGTTAGTTTAGTGTTGGGACCTGAAAAGCTTTCTCATTTGATTGATGGAATTTGAAGCATGCTGATGAAATTTGAAAGAGTCCATTTCAAGTAACAAGTTGAAGTCCATTAGTCCACTTATGTGCTGTCATTTAAGGTTCTGTTCATAGGATCAATTGATTGGTAAAGACAAGAAATAATAGGGTATGCATAAGATAACCTTTATCGACTTTTCTTATGAAAAACTCTCTTCCACTTCCTCTATCCCATATTGTTGTTGGTACATTTACCATTGTGGCCCAAAAAATTAAGCTTTGTTTCAGAAGAAATGGTAAGTGTTTATATCATACATTCCTGTTACCCTCATACTCACACGCAAAAATGAAGAACTAAAAGCAGTCATCGTTTTATCATGTATTTGAAAGTTTGAATTTAGAGGCAGTGAAAGGAGCAAAGAGATCGATTCCTAGTGCCTTAACTCCATGCATAAAAATCTGTTTTACAAAATCAAGCTCAAATTATGGGACATATTGAGAAGTGGAAGATTTAACCAAAATATAATGGTTGGGTATTCTGGTGTGGTGGTGCCTAGTGTTTGAATTTCATGCCTAACCTTCTTGAGGTGGGAAGTTTTAACATCTGAAAAATTGCTTCAAGCTCACCAGATTGCATGCTTGTTTCTACTTTCTAGAATTTATTTACTGCAAGTCATAATCATGTAAGATCGATCTTTTTATCTTCTATTATAGCTTTATTGAAGTAAGGTTGCATTTTTTCACAACAAGTTCACTTTTATTTGCAGATCTGCCCTGTTTGCTTCACAAAGGTGGGAATAAACATGGTTTCACATGTAATCACGCAGCATGAGAATATTTTAAAGATATCCTTCAGTTAGTTTTATTGGTTGGATTTCACGTTTCTGATTATGTTGTTTGATTTATGAAGCCACTTATTTATTGCTGTAAGTATGTGTATTGTGGGTATGCTTGCGTTTACCTTGACTTAAGTTTACACTCTATGCAATAAGAAACACCGCAATGCTCATTCTCGTTCAGCTGTATCTACGTTGAGGAGAGAGTTGCAGGAGAAACATTTACATTGTCTCGAGGAGTCTTCTGTTGTTGGCTCTTCTTCTGATGTGGCAGCTGATTCTATGCTTTTATCATTTGTTCATAATGCACAATCTGCTAACAATCCTAAAAGCATACGAGCTACTTCTTCTACTGAGGCAAGCTTATCAGAAAAAAGTTCAGATGACACTTCTTTAGAAAGGTACGCGAACCATGGTTAATATTTCCAGCATGTCCAAATTATGATCCCACATTTTAGAACAAAAATTAATTGCTGATATCAAACCTGTTTAGGACTGTTTCATTATGATTTATTATGTTGCCCTAGGGACTGGATGATGGGACAATTTACCCATTCACGTGCAGCTCTATATTTTGCTCTCTCTGGATTAGAGTACAGAAATAAATAACTGAATAGAACTTTCAGATATACTCCTTACCTCCAGCGTATCATAAGTGAACTGCATTCTCACTCAGCCTCTGCCTCTGATATCACAATTGCTCCTAACTAGCTGTGCTAGTAAGCAGATAGGATAAATTATATCTTTTGCCAAGGAAATTTGCACAGGGAAAATTAGCAAGTTCCCAAGACGTGTTGTGCTTTCTTTTATGCTGTGCATCTTTGTGTGCTGTTGCAATTTTTCATCTGCTAAATTATGCATGTCTGCAATGTTCGATAAGTTATTATTTTTCTTAAATTTCCACATGTTTTGATAGAGGACCCTGGTCTTCCTTTCAAGTTCATCAGTAGAAGGAAAAATGGAAAATTTATAGGCTGCTCTTTTTTTATTTGCTTGGTCTTCTGATTGCTAAAAAGTCATTTTTTCTCTCTTCTGAAAACTGCAGACTAGTTCTCTAACTGATGTTAAATGTTTGCTGAAGCCGAATTGAAGTAAATTTTCTATATATTGATAATAACAATAGCTCCATTACTTTTACTTTATAGCACACGAGATAGCTAAGAAAAGAAAAATAATTTGCTAACTAAGGAAACAATACTACCTTACAATTAATCCTAGCAATTACAATATTTAATTAATGTCAATTCCCATACTTAGCTCCTTTCCATAGACCACACACATGGTTTCCTACACTCCCCCTCAAGTTGAATTGTAGATATTGATCATGTTCAACTTGTAGTTGAGGTCGTCGAATATTTGTCGGCACAATCCTTTGGTGAAGGTATCAAGCATATGTCCACTTCTACGTATTTAGTTCTGTCATGTTATACTGGATTGAGAGAAATGTTAATTGTTACTTTGTTATCACAATAAGGTTTGATCGGAAGTTCTATTTTAACTTTCAGTTCTTCCAAGAGTTTCTTTATCCATAGCTCTTCACATATCCCTTATGCTACAGCTTTAAATTCTACCAGCACTACTTCTTACTACTACATTTTGCTTCTTGCTTCTTCAAGTTACCAAATTTCTCCATATAAAGGAATAGTAACCAATGGTGGATCTTCTATCTTCAGTTGATCCAGTCCAATCCTTCTACTCCATTCCTTTTACTCTCTTCAAATAATAATCATGTCCCAGATGTGCCTTTTAGATATCTAAGAATTTCGTATACAGCTTCCAGATGAGCTTCTTTGGGAGAATGCTTATTTTGACTTACCATGCTCAGTATCAGGTCAGGTATGCAAGAGATAGATTAGCTTACCAATTAATCTTTTGATATTTGTCCATGTTCACTATGTTCCCTGTATCCTTTATTTTTCATGCCTCAATAAGTGTATCACTAGTTTTGCATCCTGACATGCCTGTTTCAGTCAAGATTGATGATGTATTTCCATTGAAAGATACTAATGCCCTTCTTTGATCTTGCAATCTCCATCCCCAAAAAATACTGTATTTGCCCCCAAGTCTTTTACTTCAAATTCGGTGGCTAAGCACTTCTTTAATCTTTCCATCCCCACTATGTTTTCTCCCATTAGAATTATATCATCAACGTATACAATTAAGATCGTCTTCGTACCATCTCTAGATTGATGGAACAACATGGTATGATCAGATTGCTCTTGGTGGTACCCCTATTTTTTCAATACATTTACAAATCTATCGAACCATGCTCTTGATGATTACTTGAAGCCATATAAAGACTTCCCTAATTTGCACACTTGATTTTCTTCATTTCATGTGTTGAAGCCTAGTGGTACTGTCATATTGACCTCTTCTTCCAGTTCTCCATTCAGGAATGCATTTTTAATGTTTAGTTATTGGATTCACTGTTAGAGGTAGTAAGACTCGAACTATATTTAGTAGTTTGCTACCGGTGCAAATATTTCAGTATAGTCGATCCCATAGGTTTGCGTATACCCTTTGGCAACAAGTCGAGCTTTGTAGCGATCTACTGTTCCATCCGCCTTGTACTTTATATTGAGTAGCTATTTGCATCCTACTGGCTTCTTTCCCTTCGATAGGTTTACCACTTCCCAAGTTTCATTTTTCTTCAAGGCTCTTATTTCATCCATTACTGCTTCTTTCCATTTTGGTGATTTCAAGGTCTTCTGAATATTTTTTGGAATTTCTCTTTTGTCAAAGTTAGTCGTAAAAGCATGAAATCCTGTTGATAGATTATTGTAAGATATGAACTTAGTATATGATGAAAAGTACATGATCGAGGTTATTTTTTGAGAGCAATGGGTAAATTGTCATAATCTAGAGATGTGATTTGGTTGGAGACGTTCTCATAAGGTCCTTTCACTGGACTCTTTTGGCACCTTATGTGTGAGAGTTTCTTTGTACTTTGATTTAGGCTTCCTTGTCCCTGTCGCTTTGTTTTCCAACGTCTCTCCCTGACTTCAAGTTTCCTTCAATATATGGCGCAATAGAAGGTGGGGTGACGGTTTCAGTATATAGGTCAAGTTGAGAAAGGTCGAAATTTAGGGATTCTTGATCTAAGAACGAATTTTTACTTAGATTTCTCCCCTCAAAAGAAGGCTTTTGGAAGGTGTTTTCTAGAAGAATGTGACATTGAGGCTAACAAAGGTCCTTTTGGTGGATAGGTCATGGAATTTATACCATTTTTTGAGAGGGTGAGTACCCAATGAACACATTCTTAATTGCAAATGGTTCAAGTTTGTTTCAGTGCTGGGAGTGAACGTGTACAAAAGCAGCACATTCAAACACTTTTAAAGTTAGATATGATTTGAGACAAGACGTTGGAAAGTGTGTTTGGAATATTTGTATAGGTGACTGAAAGGAGAGGATATGACTAGGCATACGATTGAGGTATGTAGACGTGAAAATTGAATCTCTCCCAAAATGTTTTTGGTATATTTGCTGTGCACATAAGGGCGCGAGCAACTTCAAGTATATGTCTATTTTTTCGTTCAACAATCCCGTTTGTTGGGGAGTGTTAACGTAAAATTTTGGTAAACAATTCCATGTTTTGTTAGGTAGTCTTGCAGAGTAATATTGAAGTATTCGGATCCATTATTAGTGCGTAAGATTTGAAGTTGTGTTTGGATTGTAGAATGATAATTTACAAACACTGAGCGGACATCTGTTTTCTCTTTTAGAAGATATACTCAACAACTCCGAGTGTGATTGTCGATAAATGTGACGAACCAATTTGTTTGGGTATAATTAGGGTTGCAGGAAGGTCCCCATAAGTCATTGTGAGTCATGGAAAATGGTGTAGATGGTTTGTATGTTGAATGTGAAAATGATGTCTGCTGATGTTTTGTAAGTTCACAACTTTCATATTGAAATACAATTGAAGTTTTATTTATGAAAATTGATGGACGTACACGTTTTAAGTATGGAAGGCCTTAGGGGCGACCCATTCTATAGTGCCATAATATAAGTTTACTAACCCAAGAGGCAGATGCAGGATTATAGCTAGTAAGTGGACTAGTTTACTCACATTAGCTTCCTCGAAATAGTACAGCCACCCACACTCTTTAGCATTGTCAATCGTCTTCCCCGGTAAGAGGTCCTGAAAGATACAATGAGATGGAAAGAAATTAGTAGAGCAATTGGATTTTTTTGTTAGTTGACTAACAGATGGTAAGTTGCGTGACAAATTTGGAATATGGAGGACAAAGTCTAATGTTATGAATTCAGAGATTTGAATACTCACTTTTACTGCAACAAAAGAGAGCGACCCATCGGCAATTTTCACCTTAACATCACCCCCAACGCCGGTTAAGTATGTAGAGAATAGTTGGTACAAATCCGTCATGTGATTAGACATACCGGAATCAATAATCCAAGAGATTTTATATTTTGAAGTATTTAAGGCTCTCAAAAAAATACCTTTATGTGTAAGGGAACTAGAAGGACCTCTTGGAGGAGTCTAATCAGAAGATTGAAGGCTAGAGAACATTGATAAAGTTGTTCCATTTGTTCGAAATTAAACGCACCGCTTGAAGCAGAATTTGTTGTCTCGGCTCAATGTCCCCGATTTTGATTCTTTTGCCTCAATATCCTATTGATGGGTTTTCCATGAATTTTCCAACATGTGTCTTCTTTGTGTTCCGGCCTTCGACAGTGCTCACACCAAAGGTGTCGACATTGTTTTTTATTTGGCCCATTTGTAGCCCCTTTTAAAGAAAGGCCCAATATCTCTTTTCCACTTGAAGTTTGGGAGCTCAATTCCAGGCCCATTCTTGAATTACCCATACGCATTCTTGGCCCATTATTCTTCGGCCTAACAATTGTGGTTAAATTAATTGGCCCATTATTTCTTACATTCAGGGTTGACACTTCATCGGAGGTCTCGATCGTCTCCATCATCACCAACCGTCGTGCTTCCCATTGTACTTCCGCAAACACCTTGCGAGTCGTCGGCAGTGGTCGTCGGCTTAAGATCCTTCCTCTAACATCATCTAATTCTCGGTCAAGCCCTGCCAAAAATTCATAGACCCTTTCATTCTCTTGCTTCTTTTTGTATAGCAAGTAGTCATCGGAGCACTTCCATTACTCCTCAAAACGGAGGTCCAATTCTTGCCGAAGAACCACCATCTCCATGTAATAATCTGTTACATCTCTGGGTCTTTGCTGGGTTTGTCACAGTCGGGTTCGAAAATGTGGAAGAAATCTTCGTGTCCCTTATCGCCTCCCAGACATCCTTTGCGATAGGAAGAAATATATGCGGCATCCCAATTGTTGGTTTCATGGAATTCACCAACCAAGCAATCAACATAGAATTTTCAATCTTCCACTTTTGCAACTGGGCAGTGCCAGTAAGATAACCAAGCTTTCATTTTTCGTCAATTACGAGTTTTATGGATTGTACCCATTCACGAAAATTCCTTCCGTTCAATTTTTCCACTATTTGAAGGATTGAGTTTTCAATCCCTAGGTGCCAATTGATGCACTGAACGTTGTTTCGAAATTGGATGTTTCAAATGTCATCGACTCTATGCTATTGGCGAGGACTTCCACCATTGATTAATCCCTACAATTACAATCTTTAATTAATGTCAATTCCCATACTTAGCTCCTTTCCATATATGGTTTACACACATGGTTTCCTACATTTGCAGAGTGCGGATATTATTTATTTCCAACTTTGCCAATTCAACAAAATTGCGATGAGTCGAATTGGGTTGTTTAAATATCATAAAATTAGTTTATGTGGAGTAACTGTATATCGGGGCTGTCTGGTACAAATTATTGGCTGATTTTGAGCAAATTTCTAACCGTTATCCGTCGGCACATGGGTCCCATGTTGCAGCAATGTCTGAAAATCAAAAAGTGAAATACGTAAGTTGCCCATCAATCATAAGAAATGAATTAACTGTTAAGGGCAACATGGTCATTCTACAATAAATTGGTCCAACATTGCGGCTGTGATATCTGATTTCCTGCCATAAATGACTTGTCTCCATGAGAAGCAACTGTAAAAATTTCACTGGAAATTTGAGTAAAATCTCCTCCAGACAAGCGCATAGTATTTTTATATAACATTATGGTGGCTACTTGGTATAAACTTCTTGTAGTCTTTTGAGATCAGAGAGTTATGTTTTGAAAAATTAGTGTACTTCAATCAACTTGCTCATTTGAGAAATGGTTCATGTTACCATTCAACTACTACTTTTTCCCCCTCTTATGGTGAAACAAATCAACCAGAGAAAAGATAAGGGAACTAGTGGAGAAAAATGTGTCTAAAGACCAATTTACTCGATCCTGTCTCTACTAGTCCCTGGGATTTTAGTTTGCAATCCTATTAGCTCCCATCCCATCCTAGATGTAAAATGTCCGCATGCCATCATGAATATCACCTTCTCCTCCCTCTCCCCACAACCATGCTAAGCACTTCTGTCGTAAATCCCACTGCTATTTTTCTAATTCAGTGAACCTTGGCCCTATAGTGGTGATGGCAAAACCCCGCCCAGCCCCGAACTCGCCTCATGAAGAACAAAATAAAATATAAATAAAAAATAAAAATGAACGGGGTGACTAATGGGGCAAGCCGCCTCGCCCCGTTGCCGTCAGGCCCATCACTACCCTAAAGCCACCTCCACGTTGTAGTTCTTAATCCAACCCGTAAAAATCTGACTAA